CTACATTGTCTAAAATGGCCAGCATTTCGTACATTATGAGAGTTGATGTTTTTAATGAAATACGTCATTGCTTCATAACGTCCTTTAAGACAAGGCACTTTAGTTACAATAACTGTATTTCTGTGACATACAATAATGAGCTTTAATTTGCCTTTGATAATTTACATATAGAATTCTGCTCTGACTGATTCTTCCTTTCGTCCGCCGTATTTACATATGCGTACTATTTTGTATCCAAATTGCGGGCAAAAGCCAAAATGTCGGGCCGTTATATATGATTATACGCGATTATATATTCGATTCGCGATCCGTATAATGATTAATGTGCATTTAAGAATACAATATTATATTTATTTATTGAAAAAATACTATGAAACCACACACCAGTAACCGCTGCCACGCCATGATTCATCATCAAAATGCTGACGCCATGGTCCTAGCCAGTGCGCGTTTGAGAGGCATTCCCCCCCTGGACATCCGCCATTTTGAATAATATCAGGGGGGTGAATGCCTCTCAAACGCGCACTGGCTAGGACCATGGCGTCAGCATTTGATGACGAATCACGAGTTACGCCAAAATCATAGGAAAATCATAGGAAAAACGAAGAAGTCGGCCTTCTGTGTACCAAGCCAGAATTACGTTTTCAAATGCCAAAACTGCCAACTCAGTTTTCAAATGCCAAAACTCCGTTTTCAAATGCCAGAACTCCGTTTTCAAATGCCAGAACTCCCTTTTCAAGTGCCAAATCTCCTTTTTCAAATGCCAAAACTCAGTTTTCAAATGCCAAAACTCAGTTTTCAAATGCCAGAACTCTTTTCAAAGCCACTGCCGTATGTATAACATTTTTGCTGTCTTCGTTTCCTTTTAAAACAGTGCGGCCTGCCAAAGGTCTAGGTTATATTTCAAAAATGACGGGCGAAAAAAAATCTGACCTGTCAAGACAACAATAAAATGGCAGGTTACATAATTACATTCTACAAAAACAAAATGGCATCCAATGGTTGAGGATTTCACGGTTTTTTTCAGGGATTTTTTAGGGCCGTAAAACGGCCCCAAAAACTCAATCTTGAATTGAGTTTTGAAACTCAATCTTCTCATCAAAAGATTCTGTGCAGTAAAATGAAGTTGTTTGAGTTAAATTCATGACGTGTGCAAATTAGTTTTCAGTTGAAAACCCGAAAATTAAGTAAAAAATGGCTGGAAATCATTTCACAACACAAGAAAAACAACACATTCGCCGTCTTTAACCAGTTTATAGTGTTCCTTAGTGCCCCTGCTTTAACACATTGCATCTCAACGACACTAAAGTAAGCACAAGTTTCAGCCCCCCGGTGATAAATCCAAGATGGCGGTACAACAGGGCAAAAAGACTATAGATTCTATTACGAAAATCGGATTTTTGCATTTTTTGCCGTCGCATTGTTTCGAAACTTATTCGGTCAAATTTTATGGTAATGAGAAACTTACCGCGAAGATTTTGAGCATATATATGATTGAATTGGATGAAAAATCGCAAAATTATCCAGCGATAAAAGTTCATGTGAAATGGTCAGTTGGAGCGTTTTATTGCCAGAAATACTGTGCTATGTTAACATCTAGCCTTGTGAATGGTGTTTTATACTTGCATCTTTCATCATCATCTGCTCTGTCCTCATAATTATGAAAAATGAACTGTTATGTACCCCTCCCCCCCTCCTTGCTTGTTAGAGAAGTAAACTGATGAGAGCACTGGATGAGGGTCTATCATCTATGGTCTGTTATAATTTGCTTTTTATGCAAATAGTGAGCAAAAATTAATGCAAAACTGTACAAGTTACATATATAGTACTATATCAGTACTATACACGAACTTTTATCGCTGGATAATTTTGCGAGTTTTCATCCAATTCAATCATATATATGCTCAAAATCTTTGCGGTAAGTTTCTCTTTACCATAAAATTTGACCGAATAAGTTTCAAAACAATGCGACGGCAAAAAATGCAAAAATCCTGATTTTCGTAATAGAATTTATAGTCTTTT